TAGTTCCTTTCACCTGTAATTTTTCATATGCCACTCATCAAAGTTGCTCAGGTTAACATCTCCCCATACCACGCTTCAGTGAAGTTGTTTGCTAAATTTGTAAAATAGTTAAATTATTTTGTCACATTTTACATTTCACCCTGGGAAGTTCCAACTTCCTAACTTTTAAAAAAAATCTTCATATGTTAGGTTTTACTGTTTGTATTGTAATTCACTATTTTGTCATAAATTTCAATTGGTGTTAATAAATGTATAGTGTCATTTTCTGCTATCGCAGCATCACAAGAAATAGTTGCACAATGCTATGACATTCCCTGTGTTTTATGTATTCAAACTCCCTCTTCTCAAACTCTAGTAGCCATTGACTTCTTACTGTCTCTGTAGTTTTTCTTTTCCAGAATGTCATATAAATGGCATATTATAGTATCAGCCTTTTCAGAGTTTCTGTCACCTACATATATACACTTAGGATTCACCTCTGTCTTTGTATGGATTGACAGCACATTCCTTTCTATCCTTGGATAGTACCCTATTGTACGAATGAACCAGTGTTTGTACATGAATTCACTTATTGACAGACTTGTTGGAGATACTACTTGCTTTCAGTTTGGGTTAGATTTTAAATAAAATCTATAAATAGTCATGTGCATGATTTTGTATGCACGTATGGTTTTAAAAGTTGGCTAAATACTTAAGAGCACAGTTGCTGGATCTTATGGTAAGATGACATTCAGCTGTGTAAGAAACCGATAAATTATTTTCCAAAGTGGCTGTACCACATAGGAGAATTCCCTGTGCCTCTTTATTCTTGTCAGTTTGCTATGGCATCTTGGCATATCTATGGCATCTTAGCATATCATCTATGGCATAATCTTGCTAGTTTGCAAGATTTGGGTCATTGAAATAATTGTGTACTGATACCCCAGTCACGTTTTGATATGCATTTCCCTCATGACAACAGAGTTTGAGCATCCTTTTGTATGTTTATTTGCCATATGTAAAGCTTCTTTGGTGAGGTATTTGGCCAGATGATAGTCCATTTTTTAAGTTAGTTTGTTGTTTTATTGATGAGTTTAAAGAGTTTTTTTGTATATTTTGGATAAAAATTCTTTATCAAATATGTATTTTGCAAATATTTTCTCCCCATTTCTGACTTTTTTCATTCTCTTTACAGTGCTTTTCATTGAGCACAAGTATAATTTTAATGAATTCTAACTTATCTTTTTTTTTTCACAAATTATGCTTTGGGTGTTGTAATTAAAATTTATTACCACACCCAAGGTATATAAATATTCTTCTATGTTAGGTCCTAGAAGTTTACAGTTTTACTGTTTATGTTTAGATCTATGTTCCATTTTGAGCTAATTTCCTGCAAATGGTAAAGTCTATGTAGTACTGCCATTTTGCATAGGGCTGTCTAATTATTTCAGCACCATTTTTGAATATGCTATTATTTCTCCACTGAATTGTCTTTTTGCATTTTTATAAAACAGTTGACTTATTTGTGTATGTCTGTTTCTGATTTCTTTATTATACTTTTTATATACAACTTAGTTTATATGTCTATTCTTTTTTTTATTATTTTTACACTTTTTTTTTTTAGACAGGGTCTCAATATTTTGCCCAGGATGGCGTCAAACTCTTGGAATTGTTGTATTTTGTATTGGTTTTGTTTTTGTTTGGTTTGGTTTTGTTTTCAGACAGTGATATAGTTTGGATATTTGCCTCCTCCAAATCTTATGTGAAAATTCATTGCTAATATTACAGGTGGGACTTAGTGGGAGGTATTTGGGTTTGAAGCTGGATCCTTCAAGAATGGCTTGGTGCCTTTCTCTTCTTCCTGGTAACAAGTGAGTTTCCATTCTGTCAATTTCTGTGAGAACTGGTTGTTATGAAGAGGCTGGCACTTCCTTTCCCTCCCTCTTTCTTCCTCTCTTGCCATATAATGCCTGCTCTCTTTCTTCTTCCATAATTAGTGGAAACTTCCTGAACTCCTCACCAGAAATAGTTGCTTGTATAATGATTATTGTATAACTTGCAGGACCATGAGCCAAATAAACATTTTTTTTTAATATAAATTACCCAGCCTCAGTTATTTCTTTATAGCAACACCAATGAACTAAAACAGACGGTGTCTACAGTAAGCATTGAAATCAGGTAGTGAAAGATCTACAATGTTGCTTTTTAAATTTTTATGAAAAAAAATGAAGAAAACAAATGACTAACTTACAAGGTAGTTTGCCAAAAAATATGCCACTTAATTTTGAGGAAATAGTCATAAAAGGCATAAAATGTTAAGTAAAACATTTTCAGGAAAATTACTAGTAAATTAATTTCCTCTGATGACAATTGGCACAGGTATGGAGATAGATTTGTGGTCAATTCTTGGTTTTGTCACATTAGGTGTATGACTGTTTCAATGTTATGTGGAAAACACTACTAATAAAGACTACTTCAAGAATATACATAAGGATTAAGGTAAAGTATGCATTCAACTGAAATTGATGTTAATGTTATTTTTAACATGATAATCATAATAAATGACTGCGTGGAAAAGCATTTGGAAAAAAGTTAAACATAAGTAACTGAAGTGGTTTCATGATTGTAACATTTGATGTAACCTTAAAAATCATAATTAGGTAGAATTGCATTGAGCAGCAATTGACACTCAAAAAGCAAATATCCAATATGTTATTATGTCAATATTTCTTTGTTGGTGTCCCTTTGCTTTAAAATTTTCCTTTTTATATTGTGCCTTTGTAATGGTTACTTTATTAGGTAGAAATTTCTTGAAATCTTTTTTGTAACTTAGAGAACTGAATAGTCTCCTTTTGTACTTGAAGTATAATTAGATAGAGCTAGGATACTTAGGACTATAATTTGAAGACTAGCTGAATCAAACAGATGACACGTAACACCAAAGACTCAGAGCATTTTCAGTTCAGATCACCGCTTTTAAGAACTAAGATGAGTGGTGTAAATCTCAAAACAGATGATATACTATTTTCAATAGTTGTTTAGTAGTCCTGTTTTTTAATTAGAGGCAAATCATCATTATTTCTAAGTTTAAGATAGAAACACAAAACTCAAAAAAAGTTTCAATATTTAAAAATGATATAATATTTTCTAAAATTTTCTATTATTAATGTGGAGCTATTTTATAAAGATGATTACACATATTTTCTCAAGGTTTCTTATGTAAACTTCTGTGAGTACATCAAATTGGCTTTTTCATAGAGTCAATATTGCTAAAATGGCTATGAGGATTTTTGTCTAAACTACCTCTTTCTTTTGTGTAATATTATTTAAAGAATTGCATTTTATTAGCTCCTATAAATCAAAAAGATGGAACAAACATGAATGGCATCATTAAAGAGCTTATTATCTACAAGCAGATAAAGACCTATACATAAAACAAAACCACAAGCGGTGGCATGTGCCTGTAGTCCCAGCTCCCTCAGAGGCTGAGGCAGGAGAATCACTGGAGCCCAGGAGTTGGAGACGGCAATGTCCTGTTAATGCACCTGTGAACAGCCACTGTACTCTAGCCTGGGCAACATAATATGACCCTAACTCAAAAAAAAAAAAAAAAAAAATCAAAGTCTAAAGTATTATTTGAGTTTTTAGGACAGAAGGGTAAATTGCAGTTTGAAAAGATTAGAAAAATCTACTTTTTTGTTTTTAAATAACCTACATTTTAGTGTAAACTAATGAACATTAGCTTTATATATTTTCAAGATGATTAACAGAAGAAATAGGAATATAAAATCACTAAACATCTCAGCACAATGGCAAAATATATTTTATAGATTGATAAAATACATTTTTTAAATATACACATAGCTATGTATATACACACATACACACATGCTTATATTTATTGGAAATATATATCCAATGTCAATTTTGCATACATATAGGCATATACATATGCATACACATACACAGACACATTCATACAGACACATATGTGCATGTATGCCTACATACATATATATGTAACTTTACCTAAGTGACATACTATACACACATGCATGCATGCAAACACATTGTATGTGGTGTTTTCCTGTTAATATTTTATAAGCAATTATATTGGGACAATTCTCCCTACAAAGATTTCTCTCCTAGCAAAATGGCAGACTAGGTACCCTGAAATAAGTCTGTTATCTAAATTAAATACATAAATACTAAACTAAAAAATTCTAGATACATATTCCAGAATCTTATATTTTAAAATAGAAGAGTGTGCTTGAAAGGAAACGAAGTAAATCATTTGCTCTCAGTGAAAGACATAAGCTTTGAAGTAACTAGCTGTCCTGCGATCATTACCAATACAAGCAGATTGAGAGTTTGGGTTTTCAAGACAGCTTGGCAAATGATGTGAGATGGGAGTGGATAGGGGGACTTGGACCCATGCAGATCTGAAAAATCACTGCATAAATGTCAAAAATAATACGTCTATATGCTCAAAATGTATAAACTGGATATGAAATTCTGGCCCACACAGACAAATGTCAAGGAAATTTTTTCCCATCACATTATTGTTTATTGCAAGAAAAAACATCTCTGCTGAGAATTTGAGGCCACTGGCTAGTCTCATTTTGGTTTAGGCTTGAATTGAAAATTTTTCATGGCCAATCCAGGCCTAATATGTTAATAGCAATTTAAAAGATCCCAGATTTTTGATATGAATAAATATAAAATTTCTGTGGGGTTGGGAGAGAGGGAAAGACTTTCAAACTAAACCACAAAGAACCTTTTAAAGGAGAATGCAAACAAATAGGAGCTTGTAGACTCAGTAAAATTTCTCTATAAACTGAATGTCGGCTCTGAAATGTGCTTTCACATCAATAACGGCATCCAGCGTGAAAGCTCTAATATAATAGTTTAATTCTTCCCTTTCCAATCTTCCCTACAGTCCCCTCTAAAGCAATTATTCTGTTCAAAAGAGGATTTGTTTTTGATATTCCTTTAAGGATCTTTATTTATTCCCCCAACAGTTTCTTTTTCTGCATCCACTGCACTGTTAAGTGCTTCACCACATTGTTCTCATTTCTATTATTTCTGAAAAAAATCTTCAGGATTCTGCTTGTGGGAGTGGATGACATTCTTGCAGTGTTTACAGGTAAGGTTTTTTGGCTTTTTTTTTTTTTTTTTTTTGGTCTACGTATTAGTTATTATAAGGAATTTACTGAGTATTTGAAACATTAAATCCAAGCTCAAACTCAATTAAATATTGAGAAATTTGTTTTCTCACATACTGGAGATTTAAAAGTAACGCAACTTCAAACATAATATAATGAGCAGTTTTTCAGCTTATAAAGCTACTAAGAACATAGGTTCTTTTCTTCCTTCGAAAATGCAAACCCGCTAATAAATAGGTTTTGCTTTCAGAAAGCTAAATTTTGTTGCTTTTGCCAGATTGGGTCACATACCTACCTTTAAGCCCATGATCAATAAGGGTCATGGTTCCACTAAGACAAACGAATCACGAATTTCATATAAGCTCAGGATATGGTCATCTATATGTAAGTCACATAGAGGCAGAGTGACGTCCAACTAAATAAAATCAACGTATTTTGCTAGCAAGAATATGGTTGGGTAACTAAACTTCTAAAGTAGACATAGTTAAAAGAATGAACTTAATTGTTATTTTAGGTAAAATGAAACTTAAATGTGCTTCCATTGACTTTAAAAGAGTTAAGAATGTGGATATGCTATAATTTACAGAAAAAAATATAATACTGTTGTTATTGTTCTAATTTTCGTCAATTTTTTGCTATTACCTAAATAATGTTGTAATGAGAAACTTTGTACTTAATACTTTACCTGCATTCTGATTATTTCTTGTTACCTGTTCATAGAAGGCAAATTAATGTTTCAAATCACATTTAAATATTCCACCTTAGATATTGTGTAAAATTATTTTTTTCAGAAACATTGAATTTATTTCTTCATCAACAACATAAATTATTTAAAATCTTTTAACTCAAGTCAGAAAGGAATATTTTTGGTTACTTCAACTTACTGACCAATTCAACTTAATTGATTTTAAAATAAAATATTCTTATTATTTAATTTACTTGATTTTAAATATTACAAAGCTTGATTATATATAATATGTATACTATATATAAAATGAACTCAGTAGCCTACATATATATGCATGCACACATATTCTGCAAATTACTTATATACTTTATTTTTCTTTTGTTGACTTTTTCTCTTATGAATATTGGAAACCTATACACATTAAAAATGAACTTTTTGTAATATGTACTGTAAATACTTCCCAGTTTAGTTTTTGTTATTTACTTTTATGACATTTAATTTTTACAGTTTAATATTATCTGTATACAAATGTATATACTTTTCTTGTTTTCCAATTACAGAATATGTTCCACAATGATCCAACATAATCTGTAGTTTTCCACTTATTATCTCTCTGAGCTAAGCAAGTTTCTTCTGTCAATCTTCATTTCTTAATATGTAAAAGAGAGTGAAAAATTTATTTACTCCACTGAATACCAGTGAGAATTACTTAGACAAAACCAGGCTTAACTTAAAAGTCAAAAATAGTTATTAACTCACTATCATCCTGCTAGTTGGGTAAAATAGTGAAAAATCAATTTATTTGTTTATGTTAAACATTTTAATTATTTATGTTAATTGTTTTAGGTTGCTTATATTTTTTCTAATTTTTTAATGTTTAGTTTGAAAATCTAAACAAAATGAATATGCTTCAGAACATAAAATTAGTGTCTAATGAAAGCATCTTTGTGAACACAATGCTGGATTATTTTATTTGTTTATGTTAAATTATGTCATTTATCAATGTGTTGTTAGATGGCTTATGCTTATTCAAATCACGTAGCTTCTAGGTATAAAATTAACATTAGATTCCCTATGCCAAAAAGCCTAACTTAAACTTTCTAGCTTCAGGAAAAAAAATAAATATAACTTTTCAATTCAATCTATTTCTTTTCTATAACTTCAAGTGATGTTTAAAATTCAGTGCATTACAAAATTATTTAAAAATGTGCTTTGAAACTTTGAGGCTGGCTCCTTAGTTATTATTCAGATTGCATGTTCCCTCTTATAAGTTTACTAACCTCTTCTATCATTAGGAAATTGTCAATGATGTTAGGCATTTCTCTTCTACCCCTCTGCTATTATTTCACCCAGAATAGACTGAGTAGGGCATGTGCAGCCACTCCAGCTTCCACCCATTTTTTATCAACTATTTTCCTAACTAAAAACAGATTTTATATGCCAGTTTTTTACAACTCTTGTTATCCTATTCAGATTTTCTACCACTTATTTATTACCTTGTTTTATTTTGAATATTGCCCCTCCTTCATCATTTTTTCTATTATGGGATATATATATGTATACATATATATACTTGTGATGCTTCCTCTACATTCTTGCATAGGTGGAGAGAATGCTCAATAACTATTTGTTAACAATAAATTTGCCTATACTTTGAATTTTTTTTTTTTTTAGAGGGAGTTTCACTCTTGTTGCCCAGGCTGGAGTGCGATGGCATGATCTCGGCTCACTGAAACCTCCGCCTCCTGGGTTCAAGCGATTCTCCTGCCTCAGCCTCCCAAGTAGCTAGGATTACAGGCATGTGCAAACACACCCAGCTAATTTTGTATTTTTAGTAGAGATGGGATTTCTCCATGTTGGTCAGGCTGGTCTTGAACTCCTGACCTCCGGTGGTCTCAAACTCCTGACCTCAGGTGATCCACCAGCCTCGGCCTCCCAAAGAGCTGGGATTACAGACGTGAGCCACTGCGCCTGGCCTACTTTGAATATCTTTATAAGATGACTTTGCTTGGCTAAAACTAAGGTTATGTTCCACAAAATTCGAATCAAACTTACACGTAGATAGACTTAATATCCAGCAAAAATAGAGGGGATTCATCATTACATATTAATTCCTACCTTTGACTTTTTAATTCATCACAGGGAGCTTAAATGTTAGTTGGGTCAAACTATGTCATGAATTAGAAAGTCTAATTGTCATGAATAATTCCATAAATTTCGGATAGTCTTCCAATATGACATATGAAAGAATACTATTTTTCTTAAAAATAACACTGAGGTGAAGCCCATCTTTTTGCAATGATAAAATTCCATTGTAAGTATGCAAATTCAACCCATCCAAAATATCTACTTAAAATTTTTATATCCTCTCTTCACATTCTCGAAATATTAATAGTAAGTATCTGTTATGATTTACTATTAGTTAATTTTGCAACACTTTGAGGTCAGTTTAGAGATGGTAACTTAGGCCAATATTTAATACAACTCCATACATACTCATCATAACTTAAATAATTGTCAAGTTATCAAGTTTATAGCATAGGAATTTGATTTCTTTTATTCAAAAAAGAAAACATCAATAAAATATGAATAGATTGTCTATGAATTGTATAATCAGTTAATGTGTTTAGCCAATAGTTGCTGAATCCTGTATTATATTCAAGTGCTATGTAATCAGATAGAAAGAAAATATATGATCATTAAGAAATGCATATTCTAGAGAAGATAACATTAATTATAAAGAAAAAATATTTTCTGAATAGAGCTGCAATGAGAGATAAAGAAAGATAGGGAAGATAGCTTAAGAATTAATAATATGAGTCAAGAATTAAAGAATGAATTGTAGTTTTCTTAGGCCCAAGAAAGAAAAAAATATTTGAGAAAAATTCACTGGTATACGCAAATCAATAAAGACTTAGCATATGCCAAGAAATAAAATAGTTAAGAAACTGTACTCATCCAGAACCTTGTTATTTGTTCATTTTGTGTTTTCGGGAAGAAGGCTGTTGTATAATATGGGAAAATGTTGGGAATTAAAACTAAAGAGAAAGATACAAGTCTTTAATGTGATGCAAAATAATTTAGAATGTATCCAGTAAAACATGCTTAGTTTCTGAAAATATCCAAGTCAGATGTCCATATCTGTTTGCTATAAAGATCACTCTAGTTGGGAGCATTGATGATTAACTTGAAAGTAGCTAGCCTAAAAGCACCAACTTCCTGGTAGTCTATTTATAGGTCTTGGAACTGTTAATCCAATCTTGGAAAGGGATGATGAAAGTTTGCATTATGCCAGTGTGAATGCTATTGAAGAAAAAGGCATATATAGAAGTTGATTAGATGGTAGAAGAAATAGAATGAGTGACCAGATGTTTATCCAATTGGCCATTATATTCCAGTGTTGGAAGTGAATCTGCAGGAAGATTTCCGGGTAATTATCAAATATCTGTTAAGCCCTTAGGTTTTAAGAGTTAATGTAATCTCTGATAAACAATGTTCACAGAAAGTGGGGAAGAAGGGTCCAAATTACAGTTTATTTACCCTCTCAAACCACCTGAACAACTCCTTTCAGAAAATTATATAAATCAGAGTAAGTAAAAATAACACATATTTCTGAATACCTTTTCCCACATATAAATATTTTCAAATGTTAGCCTTTCCATAAACCTGAGATATAAGTATTCCTCTCATGTTATAGTTGAGATGTGTCTGTCTTTTAGCTATTGGGTATTAAGAAATATCCCCAAACTCATACTAATATTGCAAAAATAATACAATACTGTGTAATTATATCTCATGTGTCACTGGCTGAAATTCACTGATCTCAGTGGAGCTTAGCTTATCAAAGCTGTCCAGCTGAGATAAATGGGACATCTGGGCTCAGTGTCTGTCACATGTCTCTCATCCTCCTGTTGGAGTAAGCAGATTGGACTGGACATGATCTTCTCTTCAAGAGGGCAGAAGCACAAGGCCCAATGTACAATTGCTGTTCATAACTCTACTCATGTCATGTTTGTTACCTGGGTCCCTACACGGGCCAAGGCAGAACACATGGTCAAGCTGAGGTGCAGAGAATTACCCCTTGACTACACAAGAGTGTAAATACAAGGAGGAGTGAAACTCCAGGGCCATTACTATTACCAATGCAACACAAATAGGACACTCCATTTTTTAAGATTGTAAGCTCTGTGGGGAAAATGCCTGAGTCAACATCCTGGCCGTACCACGGGCTCTGTGACCTTGGAAAAATCAGTAAGCCTGGTTTCTCATTTTAGTAAAGTAAGACAGCAAAAC